CTAAAGTGCTAGGATTACATGCATGAGCCACCATGCCTGTCCTCCTCAATCCATCTTGAGTTGATTTTTGTATAAGGTGAGAGATGAGGATCCAGTTTCGTTCTCCTACATGTGGCTAGACAATATCCCAGCACCATTTGTTGAAAAGTGTGTCCTTTCCCAACTTTATGTTCTTGTTTGCTTTGTCAAAGATCAGTTGGCTGTAAGCATTTGGGTTTATTTCTGGGGTCTCTATTCTGCTCTATGGGTCTATTCAACTATTTTTATGCAAGTACCATGCTGTTTTGGTGACTGTGGCCTTATGTATAGGTTGAAATCAGGTAATGTGATACCTCCAGATTTGTTCTTTTTGTCTTGCTTTGGCTATGCAGGCTCTTTTTTAGTTCCACATGAACTTTAGAATTTTTTTTTTCTAATTCTGTGAAGAATGATGGTGGTACTTTGATGGGAATTGCATTGAATTTCTAGATTGCTCTGGCAGTTTTGTCATTTTGACAATATTGATTCTACCCATCCCTGAGCATGGGATGTATTTCCATTTCTTTGTGTCATCTATGATTTCTTTCAGCAGTGTCTTGTAGTGTTTCTTGTAGAAGTATTTCACCTCCTTGATTATGTATATTCCTAAGTATTTATTTACTTATTTTTTGCAGCTATTGTAAAAGGGGTTGAGTTCTTGATTTGATTCTCAGCTTGGTTGCTATTGTTGTATAGAAGAGCTACTGATTTATATATAGTAATTTGGTATCTGGAAACTTTGCTGAATTCTTTTATTGGTTCTAGGAGCTTTCTGGAGGAGTCATTAGGGTTTTCTGGGTGAACAATTATATCATCAGCAAACAGTGATGAGTTGACTTTGTCTTTACTGATTTGACTGCCCTTTATTATCTTCTCTTGTCTGATTGCTGTGGGTAGGACTTCCAGTACTATGTTGAAGAGAAGTGGTGAGAGTGGGCATCCTTGTCTTATTCCAGTTCTCAGAGGAAATGCTTTCAACAGTTCCCCATTATGTTGGCTATGGGTTTGTCCTAGGCAGCTTTTATTACACTGAAGTATGTACTTTGTATGCCAATTTTGCTGAGAGTTTTAATCATAAAAGGATGAATTCTATTGAGATAATAATATGATTTTTGTTTTAATTCTGTTTATGTGGCATATTACATTTATTGATTTGTGTATGTTAAAATATCCCTGCATCCCTTGTATGAAACTCACTTGATCATGGTGGATTATATTTTTGATATGTTGTTGGATTCAGTTAGCTAGTATTTTAAGGATTTTAGCATTTATGTTCATCAGGGATATTCATCTGTAGTTGTCTCTTTTGGTTATATCCTTTCCTGGTTTTGGTATTAGGGTGACACTGACTTCCTAGAACGATTTAGGGAGGGTTCCTTCTTTCTCTATTTTGTGGAATAGTGTTAATAGGATTGGTACCAATTCTTGGAACGTCTGATAGAATTCTGCTATGTATCTGTCTGGTCCTGAACTTTTTTTGTTGTTGTCGATAATTATAAAATTACCATTTCAATCTCACTGCTTGTATTCGTCTGTTCAGGGTGTTTAAATCTTCCTGATTTAAGCTAGGAGGGTTGTATCTTTCCAAGAAAATATCCATTTCCTTTAGGTTTTCTAGTTTATGTGTGTAAAGGTGTTCACAGTAGCCTTGAATGATCTTTTGTATTTCAGTGGTATCCATGGTAATGTCTCCTGTTTAATTTCTAATTGAGCATATTTGGATTTTCCTCTCTTCTTTTCTTGGTTAATCTTGCAAATGGTCTATCAATTTTATTTATCTTTTCAAAGAACCAGATTTTTTTTCATTTATCTTTTGTATTTTCTTGTTTTTTGTTTCAGTTTCACTTTGTTCTGCTCTGATCTTGGTTATTTCCTTTCTTCTGCTGGGTTTCGGTTTGGTTTGTTTTTGTTTTTCTAGTTCTTTGTTGTGTGACTTTAGATTGTCTGTTTGTGCTCTTTCAGACTTTTTAATGTAGGCGTTTGGGGCTGTGAACTTTCCTCTTAGCACTACCTTTGCCATATTCCAGAAGTTTTGATAGGTTGTGTCACTATTGCCATTCAGTTTAAAGAATTTGAAAATTTCCATCTTGATTCCATTTTTCACCCAGTGCTCTTTCAGGAGCAGGTTATTTAATTCCATTGTATTTGCATAATTTTGAAGGTTCCTTTTAAAGTGTATTTCCAATTTTATTCCACTGTGGTCTGAGAGAGTGCTTGATATAATTTCAATTTTCTTAAATTTATTGAGGCTCATTTTGTGGCCTATCATATCATCAATCTTGGAGGAAGTTTCATGAATTGTTGAATAGAATGTATAGTCTGCAGTTGTTGGATGGAATGTTCTGTATATATCTGTTAAGTCCATTTGTTCCAAGGTGTAGTTTAAACCCATTGTTTCTTTGTTGACTTTCTGTCTTGATGACCTGTCTACTGCTGTCAGTGGAGTATTGAAGCCCCCCACTATTATTGTGTTACTATCTCATTTCTTAGGCCTATTAGTAATAGTTTTGTAAATTTGGGAGCTCCAGTGTTAGGTGCATATATGTTTAGGATTGTAATATTTTCCTGTTGGACAAAGCCTTTTATCATTATGTAATGTCCCTCTTTGTCTTTCTTAACTGTCGTTGCTTTCAAGTTCATTTTATCTGATGTAAGAATAGTTACTCCTGCCAATTTTGGTGTCCATTTGCATGAAATGTCTTTTTTTTACCCCTTTACCTTAAGTTTATGTGAGTCCTTATGTGTTAGGTAAGTCTCTTGAAGGCAGAAGATGGTGAATTCTTATCCATTCTGCAATTCTGTATCTTTTAAGTGAAGCATTTAGGTCATTTATATTCAATGTTAGTATTGAGATATGAGGTACCATTCCATTCATCATGCTACTTGTTGCCTGCATACCTTGGTTTTTGTTTTTTCAATTGTATTTTTGTTTTATAGGTCCTGTGAAATTTATGCTTTAAAGAGGTTCTATTTTGATGTGTTTCCACAATTTGTTTCAAGATTTAGAGCTCCTTTTAGCAGTTCTTGTAGTGGCAGCTTGCTAGTGGTGAATTATCTCAGCACTTGTTTTCGGAAAAAAGACAGAATCTTTCCTTCATATATGAAGCTTAGTTTTGCTGGATAAAAAATTCTTAGCTGATAATTGTTTTGTTTGAGAAGGCTGAAGATAGGGCCCCAATCCCTTCTAGGTTGTAGGGATTCTGCTGAGAAATCTGTTGTTAATATGATAGGTTTTCCTTTATAGGTTACCTGGTGCTTTTGTCTCACAGCTCTTAAGATTCTCTCCTTATTAGATTAACTAATTAGATCCTATTAACTTTAGATAACCTGAGGACAATGTGCCTAGATGATGATCTTTTTGTGATGAATTTCCCAGGTGTTCTTTGTGCTTCTTGTATTTGCAGATCTAAGTTTCCAGCAAGCCTGGGGAATTTTTTCTTGGTTATTCTCCCAAATATGTTACAAGCTTTTAGAATTGTCTTCTTCCTCAGGAACACAGATTATTCTTAGGTTTGGTTGTTTAACATAATCCCAGACTTCTTGGAGGCTTTGTTCACATTTTCTTATTCTTTTTTGCCTTTGTTGGATTGGGTTAATTTGAAGACCTTGTCTTCAAGCTCTGAGTTTGTTTCTTCTACTTGTTTGATTCTATTGCTGAGACTTTCTAGAGCATTTTATATTTCTGTAAATGTGTCCATTGTTTCCTGAAGTTTTGATTGTTTTTTTATTTATGCTATTTATTTCATTGAATATTTCTCATTTCACTTATTGTATCATTTTTTTTGATTTTCTTACATTGGGCTTCACCTTTGTCTGGTGCCTCCCCAATTAGCTTAATAAATAACTAACCACCTGAATTCCTTTGCAGGTAAGTTGGGGTTTTCTTCTTGGTTTGGATCCCTTTCTAGTGAGATAGTGTGACTTTTGGGGGGTGTTAAAGAATCTTGTTTCATCATATTGCCAGAGTTAGTTTTCTGATTCCCTCTCGTTTGGGTAGCTCTATCAGAGGGAAGATCTAGGGCTGAAGGCTGTTGTTCAGATTCTTTTGTCCCACAAGGTGTCCCCTTGAGGTAATACTCTCATCCTTTTCCTATGGATGTGGCTTCCTGAGAGCTGAGCTGTAGTGACTGTTATCTCTCTTCTGGATCTAGTCACCCAGCGAGTTTACCAAGCTCCAGACTGGTACTGGGGGTTGTCTGGACAGAGTCCTGTGGTGTGAAATATCTGTGGGTCCCAAGAGCTGTGGATACTAACACAGCATTTGGGGTGTTTCTTGGGTCCTGCAGGAGCAATCTGCTTCCTTCAGGGGGGCAGGTGAGTCCTCTTGGGTTTCCTGATTTATTCCTACAGTTGTTCTGGAGAAAAAATTCACCATGTGAGCCTCCACACACTGCTCTGTCCATCTGAGTGGAAGCTGCAATCTAGTCCTGCCTCCCGTCTGCCACAATCCCTTCTGCCTCTAACCCTGTCTGAGGGAATGTGTGACTCCACTTTGATTCTGACTACTTTTACATCACCTTGACAAGTCTGTATTTGTATGTTGGAGGTATTCTGGCTGGGTAAATGGCATTGGCCATTAAGAATCAGAGCTCCCTTTCTCTTGGGAAGGAGACATGCTAAGAAATTTACTCTATATAGGCAACTCCTGCTGTTATCAAATATAATGTTGGGCAAAATGCAATAACCATTTAAAAATTACTTTTAGACTTGATAACATTTGAGAGCTAACCTATATTCTTTCCACAGAGTCATGGAAGATTTAATCAGCTTATTTGCTACCCATTTCTTCCAGTAAATTATCAATGGTCAAGATTCATAGTCAAATATCCACACAGTATCAAAACAAGTGGAGTAGACAAAAAGCTGCATAAAAGCTCTATGAAAGGGAAGGGAATTGTGAGCTAGAGAAATCTGGAGCATTCAGGAAAGAAATGAGTTTAAAATTTTTTTATTTTATATTTTTAAATTTTAAATTTATATACATTTTATATGAACATTTCACAAATTTGTGCATCATCATTGTGCAAGGGCCATGCTAATCTCTTGTATTGTTCTAATTTTAGTATATGTTCTGCTGAAATGAGCATAAGACACAGAGCTTAACTAGAGCCTTCATTTATGGGTAGAATTATTTTGTACAGATTCTGGGAACCCACAAAAAATCCATTAAAAAGTTATTTACTTCTTAGCAATCAATTTATTTTGAAAAATGAATATTAACAAGAAAATGAATTAGATATTTCTTGTTTAAATTAATTAACTATCTTTTATGATGAATCTTTAAGTAGAAAATTATCCCAGCACTTTGGGAGGCTGAAGTGGGTGGATCACTTGAGCCTAGGAGTTTGAGACCAATGTGGGCAATATGGCAAAACACTGTCTCTACAAAAAAATAAGCCAGCCATGGTAGTGAACACCTGTAGTCCCAGCTACTTGGGAGGCTGAGATGGGAGGATTGCTTGTACCTGGGAGGTTGAGGCTGTAGTGAGCTGTTATTGCACCACTGCCACTGCAGTCCAGCCTGGGCAACAGAGCAAGACCCTGTCTCCACACACACACACACACACACATACACACACACACACACACACACACACAAAGAAGAAGAAGAAAAGAAAATATTCATCTCACATTTTAAACAGAAGCTTTAAATGTGTGAGCCATTAATTTATTTCTGACTTTCACTGACAGAATTTCAGGAAAAGAGAACTTTGCTTGATGTATTGTTCTATATAGCTTTAGTTGAGGATAAAAATGGCTTTTGATCTTTGTACTGGTTTCTTTAGAATTTCTGGCTCATAAATTTTTCATGAGGAATTTATTTCCTGAATTTTATCAATCAGTTGTAAAACAAAAATATTTAAGTAGTGAAAGGGTTCCTGAACCCAGTAAACCCATTACATTGATAGGGCTATGACTATGACATCGGAGTTCAATATGTCAAAACTGTTGCAACACAAAGTGAATTTTATCCTCTGGAGAGCTCACAGCTGGTTTATTTTTAGTTCACTAAGATTTCAAACATTCTTGTGAAGTCAACTGCAGTCTCCCTTATTTATTTTCTAAGGCTATATGCTCTGTGTTTGTCTTTGTGGTTGTTAGTGCTAAGACTCATAGTTTATCCCCTAGCCAACATCACTGGAAGCTTTAGTTCTCTTTCTTTGGGATAACTCAATAGCTGAGTGCACATTTGCAATGTTAATGGACTAAACACACCAAATAAGAGGCAGGAATGGTCAGAATGGGTAAAAGTTGCTAGACCCAATTACATATACTAGGAGAGAAATATAAACACACAAATAGCTTGAAAATTGATGGAACAAATTATATAAAAAATGGTAAGCATATGAAGGCTGAAGTAGGCTAAATTACTATCAGATAAAATAGACCTTAAGAAAAAGAGTATTGCCAGAGATGAAAAGGAATGCCAAAATTATTAATTCATCAGAAGACAAAACAAACATAAACGTGTATTTGCCTAAAACAGAGCCTAAAAATATATGAAACAAAAATGGACAGAATCAGAGGGAGAAAATTCCAGAATTTTAGTGGAAGATATTTTTTAACTGTTTCTCAGGATTTCAGAGGACAACTAGGGAGATAGAAGATTTGAACACATTATCAACTGTCTTGATCCAAGTAATAATTATGGGATGCCTCATTCAACCACTGAAAAACATCATTTTTGTGTAATACACATTTGTATTAGTGCATATGGTATGTTTGCCAATATACATCATATTTTGGGCCATAAAACAAACCTTAATATATTTACAAGATTGTAATAGTACAGATTATGTTCTCTGATCACAATGAAATTAATTAGAAACCGACATCATTAATATTTAGGTAAATCCCAAATATTTGGCAATTAAAAAACATTTAAAAATATTGATAGGACAAAGGAGAAGTCACAAATAAATTATATCTTTAACTCAGTGATGATGAAAATATTTCAAAATTTGTGGGATTTAGCTGAGGAGATGCTTAGAGAGAAGTTTGTAGCTTTAAATACTTATATTAGAACAGAACAAAGAAAAGTGATGTACATACCACCTCAAGATGCTAGAAAAAGAACAAAGTAAATCCAAAGTCATTGGAAGAAAGGAAATAATAAAGACAAGAAAATATCACTAAAACAGACACAAATGTAAAAGAACACAAATCAATATTGGGGAAAAAAAGAAGGGTTATCACTACAGATCCTGCAGAAATTAAAAGAATAGTAAGATAATATTGTGAACAAATGTATGCCAAAAAGGAGATAACTTTGATGAAATAGATAACTTTCTTGAAAAATACAACTACAATTAATGTAGGATGAAACAGATAATCTGAATAGCACTCTGTCTAATAATGAGACCGGCCTGGGAAACATGGCCAGACCCCATCTGTATTAGTCCATTTTCACGCTGCTGATAAAGATATATCCAAGTCCAGGAAGAAAAATAGGTTTAATCGACTTACAGTTCTATGTTGATGGGGAAGCCTCACAATCATGGTGGAAGGCAAAAGGCACTTCTTACAGGGCAGTGGCATAAAAGAATGAGAGAGAAGCAAAAGTGGAAACTGTTTGTAAATCCATCAGATCTCATGAGACTTACTCACTACAGTATAGGGAAACTGCCCCCGTGATTCAATTATTTCCCACCACGTCCCTCCCACAACACATGGGAATTATGGGAACACAGTTCAAAATGAGATTTGTGTGGGGACACAGAGCCAAACGATATCACCATCACTACAACAAATGCAAAAATAAGCCGGGTGGGTTGGTGTCCATCTGTAGTCCTGATTACTCAGGAGGCTTAGGTGGGAGGATCCCTTGATCCCAGGAGGTTGAGGTTGCAGTAAGTCGTGATTGTGCCACTGTACTCCAGCCTGGGTCACAGAGAAAGAGATTGTCTCAAAGAAAAATTAAAATTGAAAATGCTACTCTCAAATTTACATAGAACGCAAATGACCTAAGATAGCCAAGAAATTTTTAAAAAGAACCAAGTTCAAGGACTTACATTACTTAGCTCTATGACTTACTATAAAGTTAGAGTAATTAAGACTGTAATATTTGTGAAAAGATAGGCATACAGTTCAAGTAACATAGATCAATAGAAGAGAGAATAGAGTTCAGAAATAATTTCATATATATTATATGTGTACATACATGTGTTCAATTGATTTTCAACAAACGGTGCTAGAATAACCAGGTATTCACATGAAAAAAGAAAACGCTGGCCTATATCTTACTCTGTACAGAAAATTAACACAAAATTAATTTTAAACTTACAATAGCCAATACTATAAAAATTTTAAAAGAAAACATGGGAGAATATTTTGTAGATTTGTGTAGTCAAGGACATCTTAGACATGACATGTTAGGCACAAACCACAAAATAAAGAAGATAGTGGCTGGGTGTGGTGGCTCATGCCTGTAATCCCAGCACTTTGGGAGGCTGAGTCAGGCAGATCACAAGGTCAGGAGTTTAAGACCAGCCTAACCAACATGGTGAAACCCTGTCTCTACTACAAATACAAAAATTGGCTGGGTGTGGTGGTGCTTGCCTATAATCCCAGCTACTTGGGAGGCTGCGGCAGGAAAATTGCTCGAACCTGGGAGGCAGGGGTTGCAGTGAGCCGAGATTGTGTCACTGTACTCCAGCCTGGGCAACAGCGTAAGAAAAAAGTGGACAAAAGATTGGCACATATAAATGTAAAATGGTTCTATTTTGGAAGAGTGTGGCAGTTTATTTAAAAATTAAAGATATCCTTAATGTAAAAACCAGAATGCCTCTCTCAGGGATTTTCTAAAGAAAATTAAAAATGTATATCCACAAAAATGTTTGTACACAAATGTTTTTAGTATAATTATTCATGATAGCCCAAAGCTGCTAATAGCCCAAATGTCCATCAATATTAGCTGAATGGACAAATAAAATGTCAATATATCAATATAATGAAAAATTACTCAGTAATTAAAATGAATGAACCACTGATAGATGTAGGAACATGGAAGAATTTCAGAAACCATTGTGCTGAGTGAAAGAAACCATACACAAAAGAGAGCATAGGCATACTGCATGATTCCATCTATATCAAATTCTAGAAAATGCAAAGAAATCTATAGTGATGAAAAGTACATTAATGAAGGCTGGGCTGAGGTAGAGGAAAGGAGGAGTCTTTTGGGAGGCGATGGAAATGTTTAGTATTTTTATTGTAATAGTATTTTCATATATGTTGTCAAAAGTCATCAGTTTTACATTTTAGATGATGTAGTTTATTGTATTTTCATTATACTTCAATAAGGCCAATTAAAAAAAACTTCTTGAAAGCAAGGAAAAGAAGGTAATGACAAGAAATGTAAACGGTATTTTAATTAATTTATAAAAGAGTAAATGGGTGAGTCTGTTTAATAGTCTTTTAAATAATAATTTAGTTTCATTTACTACCATTAATTCTATACAGTTCTGTGTTCCAACAGTCTGTTAAACTAATGAATCACCATTTCTGCCAATAATATAATAGGAACCTCAGCATTAATTTAAAAACTCTAGTATTAAGAAATAAAATATGTTGATAATTATAACCAGTTGACTTTCTGTATATTTGCAATAAAGGTTAAAAACCTTGCAATGAATTATTTGCAGATAAATGTTTACAAATAGTAGTTGAAAATCTTTTATGTGTTTTAAAAACAAAACATAATATCATAAAAATAAATTCTTTAACTTTAAAAAAATGTAAAATATAAGAATCTTAAATGTTGAGTCACAGTTTTTTATGTGTGTTTGTTTTTATGCCAGGACACACAGTTAAATTTAATCAATAGTTTCATAAACACTTGGACTCTAATTCAAACTTGATATAATTCATATAAAAAATCTATTTGTTGGAAATCATATTTTACATTATATAGTTGTTTAAATAAATCAAGCATTTAATGTTACTTGTTAAATAGTGAATAGGTGGATGTTTTCTTTGATTTATTATAAATATTAAAGATGGTAATAAAATAATTTATTTAATACAACTTCAGTAATAAACTCTTCTAAATGAATTGTGTTTAATAAATAATTTGGTTGGCCTTTGTG